TTCCCAGGCCAGCCGAGAGATATAATCTCTCCAGCGTGTCCTGGGTCTGCCCCGGGGCCTCCTCCCGGTGGGACATGCCTGGAACACCTCACCCAGGAGGCGCCCAGGAGGCATCCTTGTCAGATGCCCGAACCAACTCAGCTGGCTCCTTTCGATGTTGTTGACTAAAAGTCATTTTTTAAATAGGTTAGACAGTGATTTTACTCACTGAGCCATTTGCAATATTTTTTTTATGTATTTCATTTAAACTGACGTACCCACCTGCAAATAATTCATGCAAGGTTACAGAGTTTTCTGTGGCCTGATCTCTGGCCTCTAGCTCACCAACAAATGAGGGTCACAAATGTAGTAACCCTGGAAGGTTTTGGACCTGTCATTGTAATAAGTCTCCATTATTTTTGCAGACTGAGATGAGCTGTTCGCTTGAGAGATGGATGTGTGATGATGACAGCTCTGATGATTCTCAGTCCATCATAACATCATTTATTCAGTTTAAATGTCATCCACACCAGGAGTCCAGCATGCACCATACCAGGACCACACAATTTAATAACAGTGTCATCAATTACATCTGCACTCTTCCTGGAATTACACCCATCTGCCTGCCACAGAACCGCAGTTTTTATCTCAGGATTATTTGTTAGTTAGTCAATCATTTTAAGCTCAAAAGCATCCCCTTGACTCAAATGCTATTCTAAATTAGGAAATAGATAATTAGGATTTTTACTTCCATGTGCCTACTAACAAAAAACAGTACAGACTGAGGTTTATTATAATAGTTGATCAATAATACTGGGCGACCACCAACACAATATCATCTTTAATAATAATTCTGAAAACTGATAAAAGTTGTTTGGCAAAAAAAAAACACACCCCTTCAGGTTCATGTCCTCCAAATACTTCCCTAAAAAAGAAATTGTAAAAACTTAAACATTGAGACGTATTTTTTAATTCAAACTTTTATTTTTAGCCAAATGAAGAATCTTTTTTCCAAAAGTAACTTCACCACTAATTTAGGTCCTGTATCTTTATTTTAATTCATGTCTACATTTTGGAGTTCAAGGCTTTCAAAACTTCCTTTTACCATAATTTTAAAGGCAGCCTTGCTTTAATTTGCTTTAAAATGTTAATATTGACTACATTATTTGACATTATTTGCGCAAATTAACAGTTGTAATCTTTGGTATAGACAAAAGGCAACAGATCTTAGGAGAAGACCTGTTATTAAGTGTATTAAGCAGGGTGCTGAGATCTGTCGTCGTTTTAGGTTTGGGCAGCTTGGAGTCAATTCTGCATCATATCAAAAGGGGAATAGTCAATTTAAATCCCAAGAAAACTTTCACAAATCTTGTAACAAATGTTCTTAAGAAGAGTCTGAAAATTTGAAATCAGAGACTCCAAGACAAGTGCACATACCAACTAGTTAAACCCACAGAATACTTTTACATCTACTCAAATTTCTGTTGGATAACAAAGCTTTTTAAAAGCCTTTCGGTTTTGTCCCAGTTTACCATCTGTATCTGTGGACTGTTCAAAGTGGGTAACTTCGATACACAAACATAACTGACAAAAGCTTTTATGATTCTTGTATGTGCATTTTGTGTTATCTACCCTGTGAGCTGTTGTTCCTGTATAATGACTGTAAGCTTTTCTGAATTTTATTTCATTTTATTGTATTTTATTTTTACTTTTTTGTGCTCCAAACATTTAGTTAAAAAGAGACCTCAATCCCACGAGATGTCCCATTCAACAACGATTACCTCTATGTAAAAGATTACCAGAAACTTTTGATTTTTCCAGACAATTTAATGTAATATTCATTACTATAAGATTTTGTAAATCATCAACCACACACATGAAAAAGAGCAGCAGATCCTCTGAAAACAACACCAGCAAGGGTCTGAAATGTGTCTGTATGTTTCTCTTTAATATGTGGAAAATAAAGTGTTAAATACAAGTCACTGCAGTATTTTTGTTTTGTTTTGTTTTTTACAAAATAAAGCTGGCTCCAAAATCTGAATGTACTCTGTATTTTAAAATGATAAAAAAAAAAAATAAGCATCAGGACACACTGGCAGGAAGAACTAGCATGTGTGGGGGAAATGTTGTGGCAAATATCCACAGCATCTATATAAATTATTTGCACACTCTG